TACCTGATTATATAAAAAAAAAAAAGCATAAGAAAATTTGCATATTTAACGTTATTCTTATTTTAAACTTTATTTTATACTGATCCCTTTTAACAAAGAAAAAAGAAAATATCTCCGTTTATTTTTCATTACATATGTATATATTTTAAAAAATATATCATTCTTTTTAAAAGAACTTTTGCAACTTATTTTCCAACGATCTTCCTCTATCCTCGTTTTAATTTCGTTTTAATTTCTACAAGAATTCAGAAATCCTGTTGATTCACGGTAAAAAAAAAAGTAAAAAAGTTGCATTTTCATTTAACGATCCTCCAAAACAACAGCCTCCAAACATATCTACCTAATTTCCAGAAAGAAAGTTGCAAGAAAGTTGCGAGATCGCGAGATTTTTCCACCACTTCTCTTATTCGACCTCGTTCCTCTGAATGGGCTCACTATCGTGCCTCACGAGACTCAGGGATAGTAAAATGGAACTGCGATGATTATTGCACCGTCGTTGTCTAAGGAACGCGCGTTCGTGGGCCGAGATCAAGTCGATGACCATGAACGAGGCCGCGATTCTTCGAGAAGAATCACGGCGAGGATGGGGAGGAGGGGGGAATCAGGTGGGGTGAGTCGGGTCGAAAATTGGTCCTTGGCCAATATTGCACCCTTGGAACCTCGAATGGTGGCTTAACTACGAGATATACGTGAGGAGATCCTTAATGATTCGACAGCAATCGTGGAAAATGTCGCTTCTGGTTCGTAGAAATCAATTTTGGAAGAAGAAGTTGAAGAAATTGAGAATGATTGGTGACTTGCGAATGTGTGAGGAGAAGTGGGATGATATCTGTGTGTGTATGTGTGTAATAATAATGGGATAGAAGAAATGTAATAATTACTGTGCTAGAGATAATAATAAAAAAAATACTTATAAAAAAGTCGATGGAAGAGTTAGAAAGTTTCATTATCTGTCTATATCTAAATTTTATTCTAAATTATTGATACTTGTTAGAAAATTTTTATCTCGGATATTAAAATTTGGACAGTTTCGACACGTTAGTTGGAACAAACTATTGGAATTTAATACATCCAATAAGCAAGTGTCAAAAAGAGAAATTGAGTCGTGTGCATGTCGATGCAATAAAGCATGGGGACCGAAGTTTAAATCTGGCGTGGAATTAATTTCGTATCGTGAAAGTGGCTTGGAAGAGGAGCGTTATATGAGGCGGCTTGATATTGCATCGTGTGGCAATAACGAGGAGGCAATAATGGTGTATTAAAACAAAAAAAGTATAAAAAAAAAAAGAGGGCCAAGCATCCGCCGGAGAGGAAACGGAGATATATTTAGGTGCAATAACCGTGCATTTGCCCCTTTTTCGAAGAAATTCGAGCTTCTTAATAAAGTTTCAAGCTTGGCCATTCGAAAAATCTGCCTCTTACCTCTGAAACCAATTGAACAATCTGTGATATATCAAAAAGTGATCGTCCATATACAGTCATTATTATCATTAAGAAAATTATTCGAATATCAAACTGAAATGTTTTCAAAAATCTTCCAAATTATCACTGACTTTAAAATAACATGCCAAACAACAATCTCTGACAATCTCTTTGCATTAATGAACATTTAATCTAAATCTATGATAATTTTATAATCCTCCCCCAAACAATTATTAATATTAACACGAATCTTTGTACTCTTTCATCTCAATCTCCACATTATTATTAGAATAAAGAATCTTCTAATCTCTCAGGAAATCATCTACCAACCAATTCTTCAACAAAGAGGGTTCAAATAAACATTCTTAGACAGAGCATCGACCCTCAAGAATGGATCCACTTCAAAGCGCATCATCGTGGATATGATTAGCAGAGATTGGCATCGTTCACGATACTATTCGCGTGATTTCCAGCCACTTGTAAACCGTACTACACCCCTGGAGATAGCCACGGAAGCGATTTCGTGAGTAACAAGTTTCGCATGCTCCACTTTCCCGACTCTTCTTCTCAACCCCCATTGTTCCATACACGCGTATACGTGTTAGTGTACTCGCGGCATATACATTTGAAAAGATGAAATTTACAAAAATATCGGTTCATCATTTAATATTTAATAGCCTATGTAATCCATTTAAATGTGGAAAAGATTTACAGGATATGGATGATACGGGTCAAAATATTCAATTTTCATTTCATAATTAATAATCAGAAGTTGAAATGAGATGGAGAACAGAGATGTTTTATTCACTTTTAGAACTCTTTAAACGTTCTCACATTTTTTGTATATTCCGTTTCTTTTGGATCGATCCTCGATATCTCTCGCGAATACGCAAACATCCTGCATATCAGTGCACCCTTTTGGCGATGGTTTACAGGAAAATGAGCTCCGCGCCCTATCTCGTCGCAGCACTCTTTTTATATATCGAGAATGGATGCACGAGATACACACTTCCGTTAACATGGTTTCCTTATGGATCCTGCTAGATTAACTCGAAATTAATGCGAACGGGGGCAAGCGACATCTCCTCATTTTTCCCCTCTCAGCTCTGTCTCCTTTTTATAGTTCCTTTGGAACGATAATAGCCGTGGAGAAATTGAATCGCCACTTTTTCGAAGAACCAGTGTATCGTGGAGTCCATACCTAGGTACGTGTATACGCATATATAGATAGATTTGGAAATAATAGGTCGTTGGTGTTGTTCTACGTGGGTCGATGAACTGAAACGTGTAAGGAAAGCGGAGTGTGTGCAAGTATACGTATGAAAATATTATCGATATCACGCTTTAGACGGAGTATGGTATGTTCTTTTTATCTTTGTCGCCAGAGAGAAACCTGTATAAATTTATTTATTATTTATTCTTACTCTCGTGAAATTTACTTTTTCTTGTCGTCCATGTTTTTCGTACGAAAGATCGAATACAAATATTCTCGTCCAATAGATGATAAAGATAAAGGGAATAGGATTCGATGAAATTCTTTTCTTTTTCAAGAGAGAGAGAAAGAAGAGGAGAACCGATGGCCGCGTTGTTAAGCGGAACGTGGTAAATGAAGAGAGAAGGAAGAATAGCGCGGTGTAACGCATGTTGCAGCCGGTTTTCTCTTAATAAACGGGATTGTTTTCGAGCCTATGTAGAGATGTTAATGCGGGGCATGTTAATCCGTCGCGGTATAATTGGATCCGGAGGTTGGTGAATTTGACCGCGAACTTCTGCCGCGAGGAACACGAAAGCGTGGATCGAGGAATGGTTGGTTATTAGGGATGGTTGGATCAATGGATTACCCATTTTTATTCGCGTCTCCTCGAAATTTCCTTGCATTCAATTTAATTAAAGGATGATATTCGTTCTGGAAGAATTGAATGCGAAGTTTTTACGACGATTTTTAAAATACGACGATTCTCAACGATGATGATGTTTCCAATTATGTTATATATATTTTATTTTAAAGAATTTAATTATAATGATGTTCGATCAATTTCTCTTTCCACGTTATTTTTATTAGAAGAAATATCGATAAGTAATTGTGCATGTAATGGAATATTGATATCGATATTATATTGCTATATATTATTGATGTTATATCTTAGAGTATCCTTTTTTCAGAGGTAGATATATGATGTATCATTGACCAACAACAATTTATCGATTTAAAATCAATTCGAAACTCCTTTTCTTATTCCTCCGCATAAAAGCGGGCCTCAAAATCGGACTAAGCGAGGGAGCAGCAAGATTATCATGGGTACATTCCAGCAAACGATCGCAAGAATATTTCCTGAGGAAAAGGGGCGACGAGACTTGGAATAATTTCCACGGGCTTGAAACTATCGTGGTAAGTTGCCGCCTCGAGCGATAATAGGAAACAGGCGAAAGGGAGCCGACAATATGGCGGATAGAGACATTACTAGCTAGCACTTTAGATAAGAGGTTAGGTTCAGGTAGCAGTTCTTAGTCGCTCGCCCTCGCGCTCCATCGATTTCTCTTTCCTTTTCCTTTCTTTTTTCTTTTCGTCTCTTTTCATTTTTCTTTCCCTTCTCCCTCCTCGATGATCCATACGCCGCCCTCTAAATAGACCGTGTGATCTCTCGCCGATCTCGGTCGCGAGCTCGGCTAGCTGATTACCGAGCAGACGCTTCACGCTTCGTTTCCCGCCAATTGCTTCCCTATTTCGTCGAGGATCGTACGAGGTTGACGGTGCCAGACGCTTGTAATTTCACGCCGCTGCGTGCTCACCTTGGTTTCTCGCGTATTCCGCCCGGATTCCGAGCCGATCCCGCTTTTTGCCCAACCGATCGCGACGCCTCGAGACGTTTTTTGATCCCTTATCGAGAGAGATTCTATCTCTTTTTCAACGGTTGAATCGTGTTGTTGGCCCCCCTCCTTCCAAGGTTTCATAAATTATATCTTGTAAATTATCTTCGCAATTTTTATAATCTTAGAAAAGGATAATCTTTGGATTGATTGGTTTTGGGTTTGTTCGATCGAGTTAGATTTGACTGATGGATATCGTATATAAGCAAGTGCGTATTTCTTGGAAAAAATATTGGACGGACAAGTATTGGTAGTTCAAACTTAGTTCTTAGAGGAAGAAAAAAGAAAAAAAAAATTGGATTTTTCCCTGGCGGACGAAGTAATCTTGGATGGGATCGATCCAAGGCGAAGGCGAATATCATCAGCCTAGTGGTAACTAAACTTCCAAAGAAGTTCATTTCTATTCATATAAGAGTTGGGACACTTTTGTACTTTGATATCCGGGGATAGCATTGATCGTCTTTTTTTGTTAATCAAGATTGTGCACAGTCTTTAAGCCAATGTTTGAAATATTCTTTCTGAATAGCAAACTATTGCAAGTGTGCAAATAAAGGTTATAGGAATATATTTGTTTTATATTGAAAGAATTTTTATAATTATTCATTGTTCATAATGATAACATAAAATGATTTTATTGTAAATAAAAATTGCGAAGAGATAGATTTTGTAATTGTAAAAAGTGCTTACGTGATGGAACAAAAACATTAATTTATGAATCAATATGCGTTTTATCTGAAACGAAGAAAGTAAAATATGTAAATATGTTTCCAATATTTTGTTGTTTGTTAAATTCTTTTTAATCGAAACAAAAGAAAGTATACTTCATATTTTAACATTTATGTGTAATAGATAATAAAAATTTGAATGATAATAACACGTCATTGAAATTTTCATTCTCCACTTATAAGAATTATGAAACGATCATAAAGAAGAATAAAAAATACTTACTAATGAAACTCATTGTTATCCTTTTTACAGTGTTCATGAATGATTTTGTCGTTCTTATTATGTTTCTTAACGAGTTCCAATCATTTTTAATTTCATCATAAAATTAAAGCGGAATCTTCTTTCTGAATAAATTTAAATTTTAGTTCTCAATCTATGAAATACATAATTAATAATAATTGTAACAAAGATCAACACAGATCATAAGAATTCGATTAATGTTGTAATATCGAAGCCTTCCATTCTTTGAAGAAGTTTGAATGACAGCCATATAAATGAACATCCTACTATTTCTCTCCTCTTTTTTTCTTCCCTCATCGAATATTCCCACAATTTTTCCTTTTCTTGAATATTTTCCATATTTCCGATCACTATGGAAATCAAAAAGTAATAAGGTTGACATTTCGCATGACAAATAAATGGACAATGGCTATACTATGGGGATAAAAATATTATAATTTCAAGCTATAAATGTTTAGCTAAATCTGTAGTATATTTCAATTCTGAGACAATAATTTTTAATTCTAAAGAAAATAAGAATTTCTTTCTTATGTTTCTTCGATTTTTCTATAATTCCACTTCTATAATTAAAGGATATTAATATGAGTAAGTATACATTTATGAATAGAGAGTGGAAAATAGCATCTTAGACACATTCACGTTGAAAGAATATTCGATTATTTTGTATGTCTTATGGTATATCTAAAGAATTATATTTAGCATATCGCCATTTTCCTAATAAATATTTAATCGAATTTCCTTTTCGAATAAAAAATTTAATACGAGTATTAAATTACAAACATATATCACGAAAGTAGACTTATTTTACTATTTCATTTCACTAATATCTCGTTTTTCATCTTTTAGCTTTGTTAATTGCATCGTTATATTTGTGTAATAGGTACATGTCATTATGGAAATTTAATGCCGCCAATTTTCCTTCCGTCTGTTTTACGCATGGTCGTCCCCACCGTTTCACTCGTTCATTCTCGTTTCAACGTGCAACAAGTTGCAAACCCTATTCTCACCAGCGGGGTGCGTACAATTCCTACAAACCAGTGCTGTTCAATCTGTCGTGTTATGGACATGGATGACCGCAGACAATTGCTGAGAGTAATACTGAGGCAAAGATATGAGCAATGAAACTCTGTGGAATACTTCAGATTTCTCTTGTGAGTCCTCTTTCTTATTTTATAATAGGAGGACTTGAAATTTTGGCCTATTACATTAAATTTATAGACAATGCAGAAAAATTAACAGAGTGGGAACTTAAAACTTCAATCTTACTGTAATAGATACATTGTCTGTGGCTAATGCTGAGAACAAAGTTATTGGTAATTAATGAATTTTAGGTAAAGATATAAATCTTATATTATCTTAAACATCTATTTGATTTATTGTATAAAAAAAAAATATATAAAAATAGAAGTTGTGGTATTAAAATTATTATAATTTTACCTACAATTTCTTGAAGATGCAATTTATGATATATCATTTGTAATCTAATCTTAATGATATTGTAAAAATTGATATTAATTAAAATAAATTATGTACAAAATATATTTTATAAAATTTGTATCAAAAATAAATTATTTTGTTGTACACATACAATATTTGTAATAATTATCAAATTGTTTAATAGAATATATTACCTTGAATTCTGATGAAATAATTATTTTTAATCTAATCAATATTTTCCCCACTTTTGTTTCTTCATTATTTTTTCAAGAAATTCCAATTAATTTGGACATGATAGAAGTAGTTTTTTTTTCAGATTGTATTCTTGAAAATCAAATTTGCATTGATAAAACAAATACATATGACAGTTCACAACATCGAATACGAAAAATCAATCAATAAAACAAATACCTGAAAAATAAAAACAGTTACGAAGAGAATAAACACGTAAATGTTAGCTTCGATCTATTATACAGTCACAAACTAACAAATAATAAAAGTTGCTGATTGATATTATTCTTTCCCAAGGAAATCCATGGAAATCCATTGGAAACTCATAAACATCTGATGCTCGCGAGATAACGTAAAAATTCATTTCAACTTTCTCTTGAAAGAAAAAGAAGAGAAGAAAAAAGTTTCTTCGAATGTGTCTGAAGTGTCATAATGATAATGAAATCAATTTTCAGACATAAGCAAATTGGGCGGTTTTTGACGGTTATTGTTTCACTGTTTCACAGTTTTCTCCCGCGTTTTTTATAGCTGCGCATGCGTATTTATGAGCTTCAGTAGTCTTCGTCAGTGCGTATTATAAAATATTTCGATAAAAGTGTTTCGAAGAAATAAAAAGGATTCTTAATTATTATTTCTTAGTAATTGCGTCGATTTATTTATACTGTGTAAAATAAACGATAAAGTGCCAAGTGAATAAAGAGGATTCGGGTGAAAATCTCTTAGTAAACTTTAATTATACAATGTCGATCGTGAATTTGTACATGACGCGTAAAATGCGTAATAATCGTAACAATTTTGATCTTCAAAATACGATATATATTGAACATGAAGTTGAAAAAAGAAAAAGGAAGAGCAATTTGCATGGCTGTGATTATTAAAGTCAACAATATGATGTAACGGTGAGTACATAATTTTAAATATATATTTAGAGGTTAGGTTTACTTTTTAGTTAAGAATCATATTGAATCGAATACATTACAACGAAAAAAGATATAGATATATTGATCATCTGAAATTAAAATATTTGTTAGATCATATTTGACTCCTTTATAATCGAGATGAAATTATACTTAACTATTATATAAAATTATAGTAGATAAATTAAAACTTTCTTTTTTAACAAAATATTCATTACATAATGTAATATAATTATTGTAGATATTACGTATAATTATATTATAAAATTGTCTAACTCAAATTTGAAGTATGAATCCTTGAAGTACGAATTTTTATATTTTAACTAGTTGTCTGTACCATGTTGTATCATATTTAATTTCATAAAATCATACTTCTTTTTAAATTTCTTTTTTTCTTATTATTATTTTACTTACATCCATTCATAGAATGGATGCAATGAACAATCCATAATGATCTGGCCGATATAGTTATGTATAAATGCATAAAATAAATGTATCAAAATATCATAACCATACGAAAATGCGTTTCTCGTGTCATTCAAATAAGCTTTAATAGTAAACTGCAATGTAGAATAGATTTACAATAATTGAGATGCGTTAAAATTATTTAGATTTTTATATAAAATATATTTTATAATATATTAATAAAAAAGTACTCACTAATATCATATAAGTATATCATAAAGAAAATGCGATTATCAGATTGATGATCGCATTCATTAAGGACAACTTTTTCAATAGGACATTGCACATGCTTGAAAAATTTTAGGTTAGATCTATATCTTTAGCTTCTGAAATTTATTTTATCTGTGATATTAATATCAATACCGACTTGATACGCGTATAAGTTTCCATTGCATCGCAAATTTTCCTATAAGTTTGATCAATTTCATCATTCGCAATATTTTTTTCCGAATCACTATCAATTGCTCTTCGTATGCGACAACTGAAAAGTAGAATTTTTTCTTGAAATTCAATGAAAATAAAATTTTTTATCATCGTACCTTATTATCTCAAATAATGCGCAATAATTGTATGCCAGGAGAAAGTGTAAATTCAACTGGTAACATTGAAATTATATTATTCTCCAGAAAACAGAAGTAGCATATGACAATTAGGTAAAAATGTTCATCCTTCTCTATATTATATCATCGTGCCAAGTCTATTGAGACTTATCGAGACTTATTCAGGGGTATGATGTATGAAATGACCAATAACAAAAAATGTGCGTAAATTAATTAATTCTAGAGTAGTTGATATATATATAGAATATATCATCGAGCGAATGTCGAAAAAAAAAAACAAATTAATGAACAATAGTTATCCATTAATCCAAATCAAGCATATATCAATAATAATTGTTTATTTCTGTATTAATACTTCTAATATAAAGCCATAATTTTTATTGTATCGAGTACATCAGGGTGAAATACGAAAACGACGAACTTAACATCTAAAATTTTCCATAATTTTTTATTCATCAATTTTTAAATTGAAATGTGTAATGTAGTTATTTAAAAAAAATTTACCGTTGAAAATCCTGTATGGCATGGGGTGAACAAACCTAAGATGTTGAATGCATGTGTCGTTGTACTTTGTAACATGATTAGCAATAAGATTTTTTGCGCTTTCAATGGCATGGAATACCACATCGAATTGTATCTGTTCAATAATAATAATTTTTTTTTACCGCGTAAATTAATGTAATTAATTTCAATACATAATAAATAAATTCAAACTTACAATTCATCGAACAATTCTTGGCTATTGTTCATAAGTACTTGACCATTATAATTATTGAGAAATATAATCACCAAGTGAATAGCAACAAGTGTGAAACAGAATAATATTTCTAATTGGTTCTTCTTAATTAAAGTTGAATTTACTAGCTAAATCAAGAAAAATAAATATCGTAAATAAATACATACTTATTTTAAAATTTATCGCGCAATAAAAAAGAGATATTCACTTACTCGATACAAATTTATAGCCAATGAGACCACAACTAGGAAACTAGCTATTATATAATGTATCCCTGCAGTACTTACCGCGAAATCGGTAAGTCTGTCATTGAACCATATGAAATTTAAGAACATAATATTAACATAAGCATCTGGAAAATAATTTTATAATACAATCGTTACATTTTAATTTACTAACTCGATAGTTTGATTGTGAATATCCACTACACGATAAAGCTCTAGAAGTTTCGAATCAATTTGTTTAGGTGAGAGCTTAAACATAGCTAAATACATAACAATATTTTGTATTCGATAGCTGAAACATACAATACTTTTCGTTATTTAAATTTATCTTATTCAACTTATAATTTATAGGATTAATATATTCATGCATTTACATTTTTGAAGTGTCGATTTTAAAAGCTAAAAATAAATAGATAAATTGATAAAGAAAAATGTCAATTAACTTGTTTATAAGATTAATATAAAATTTAAATTTGCATTGGATGGGAATAGAGTGAGACTATTCTGTTTTCATATCAATACAATCTCACTCTATTACTATTTCTCATTTCTAAACAAATTTAAATTATTTGCAATTTAATAATTTAATCTCAATTAATATAATCCATGAATATTTATATTAATTCTGTATAAACACTAAGAATATAATATTTCAAATTGAATTAGATTTAATCTTATGAAATGCGATCATATCTTGTTAATTGCAATTGAATAATATTAACATGTAATAAAGAAATATTATAAATATTGTAAAGTATTATACATTTGGTAATATGAGACCAATATGAAAATTTCACTCACCTCACAATTTTCAACAACACGCATATATAATAACTACAAATTCCGGTTATCGATTCCGAACATGCTACAGATAATAATCCAAATATGCCAGTAAATATAAAATTGAAATTTAGAATATCGAGATATATGATTTGATCGTGAGAAAAGGTTGTGATGTAATAAATGGTACGAGTACGAGATTCATTCAAAGGTATCATGAAATCCAATATTATAGGATACAATACATATGTAATGTTAATTACAATAGTCGTGTATGTCATCCCTAAAATTTAGAAAGATTGTTTAATAATTTAATTAATATTTAAAACAGCTAGAATATTATATCACTATTCAGAAATCTTTTTTTCTTGTTATAAAAAAAAAAAAAGAATTCTAGAATTTTCGTTATCTCACATTACGAGCGAAGTTATTATCGTTAAAATATAATAATCATAAAAAAAAAAAAAGAAAAATATATAATAAAAAAATGTATTAGAATATAGCTATATAGTAGAAATATAGATGTATGAATATTTTCGAACATTTAAATAATTACCATGGACAATGGTATAATTACAGATTGTTATCATCAAAAAAATTCACATAAATAATATATTTCTTACAGAAAAAAATGTTGATCATATGATGCGAATCATCGATCAATTTCATTCGTATTTGCGATTCTATTGAATCTTGAACGATACTTTCCTCTGTACGTATATGCTTGAATATAATTTTTATCTGTCAAAGTAGAATAACATATAGAAATATTTATAGAAGCCAACAATTGAAAATAATTATAATTTTTACTCACTGTAGGAAAAAAGGCTATAGAACCTATATATCGTAACAAAAATAGCACAAATGGACAGGTTATAGATAACGTTAAAATGCTGTTTTGTAATGTAATTTCAGATCTTAAAAGTGACACGATCTAAAAATGTATTCCATTTGTTAACCAGATTATTCAAGCTCAGCCAAGCTTTTTAATTAGACAGTAATTCGATCATACGTACAATATAGTTATTATATGTATATGTATATATTATTTTAAAATATGATTATTTTTTTATGCAAAATAGAGAAACCTGTTTTTCTTTTTTAAACCTGTGCATTATCATACAGATACATATATATAAAAAAAGAAAAATCATAATTTTCGTTACCTGAAATATTATATTGGCAAGAAAGTAGCTTAATAACCATAATCTCTGAATCCAAACATAGATCGAGTTATCGTATGGCCACAGTCCAACGATTTTCAATACAGTACGATAAGTAGCATACTGTTTATCGAATACGTCCATCGTTCTGATCAGATGTTAAATGTTATGTAAAACTGCAAGAATCATTCAACTATACCTCAGTTTAATGCATTATTTATGTTATTATGTTTCTTGAATTACATAGTTTTACCTGTTCATAATGATAGAATACAATGCGAGAAAATTACAGTAAATTGTAATCGATCGATTTTCTTCGTTTTCATTATTAAAAGATTCTTCATAATTCTTCATAATAGATATTGATTTTGAAAAAATTGCTGGCTTCGGAATATTTCTTTTATGTATTTTTATTCATATATTTCCTTTCCTTTTTTCTTATTTTTCTACTTTTTGATTCGAAAGTAAAGAACAGAGACTTCGTCAGTATTCTTATAGTCGCCGATTAATCACGACACTATTTCTTCTGCAATGCTAAAAAGTTAAAATATTAAAAGAATTATAATAGAAAGGAATAAGAAAAGTGGAACAATTTTATGTGAAACATTGTGAGATACAACGTTAGAATGTAAATAATACAAATTAATGGTATCGTGAAAAACACATATAAATGCAATAAATATTTTCTATTTTTAAAAATAGAAAAAATAATCAACAGACTTATACAATATAATATTATTTTTTTTTAATTTAATTAATCCCCAAATTATTTATAATTATATCTTTTTTTATAAAGCAAATACGTAGCAAGTATCGAGTAATTAAATAATAAAATAAATTCACTGAAGCGTGTATTTCTATAGTGATATAATTTAATGCCAATTGTAAATTATTAAAAATATATTATTAAAATATTATTAATATAATTATTAAAATATGTTAAAATTGAAAAAGATAGTAAAACTAAACTAAAAGATACAAATTAAATTTAATACAAATATGCAAATTTGAAGATTTTTTTTTTAATTAATATTGAAAATCTGGATTCCGAAATTTATTATCTTTGGAAGTATTAGAAGTCATATAGAAAAAAACAATAAACGATACACAATAAATATTCATTATTCAAATCCAAAAATGTAACAATGATATCATAACAATTTCAATATTTATATTGAAGTAGTTATATTGAAAACTTATATGCCAGTAGTATTCCAGAATATTTATTGAATTGAGTATATAACGGCACAATAGGAGAAGGACGAACTCATCATCTGCAATATTACAATAGTTAAAAGTGTTGAAATTCAAAATTATGTTATATAACAAAAAAAGAAGAGAAATTACCGACATAAAGCCTGCATAAGATGGAGTGAATAAACCAGAAAGAGATAATTCACAATTCATTGAACTTCTCAATATTATAAACAATAATAGTTTTTGCGCTTTTAAAGGAATGCGATACCATTTAGAAGCATATCTGCAAATCATTCTATCATTTAATATATTCCAGCAATATCGTTATATTTTTAATATTATATATTAATAAAATATGAATTATCTAAATTAAACGATAAAGATGTAAGTAATAATATAAAAATTATTCGAACTTACAATTCGTTAAATATGCCAAGATTACTATCAATTATTAATTGTCCGCAATGATTATTGTAAAATGCGATCATTAAATGATACATAACTATAAGAATACAACCGATGATTTCTATTCTATTGTCCATAGTTATTATTGCGTTATATAGCTATGAAACGATCAAAAAATAT